AGCATGAGAAGTTTGGGACCGTTTGGAACAAGTCCAGCTGAGTTACATCAGACATTTCCTTTAGCCAGTAGGCTTTGCGGGTTTACTGTAGCGCCCCCTAGTGGTCGAATGCAAAACAATTCTCAGGGTATGTTACTGGATGCGATGTGCACATATGCTGAATATTTTGGGAATTTAGAACAAATGGTTGAGAAGTTATGTGTATTGATATTTTGCCACACACCTAAGAAGTGTATTGGTCCATATCTTGTAAACACAAAGAGATATCAAAAAGATTTTGATAAATTTTGATGATCTAGATCCACTTATGATCCACAGCAAATTTCGTAGAATTTGGAGCCAGCGTGTAGGAGTTCGCAAAAATGTGTTTTTTTTCACTAAATTCAAAATGGCTGACTTCCGGTTGGGTTTAGAGCTTAGAGCTCCGGGGGCTTTTTTGTAAGTCTACATGTGATACATCTGTTTACCAAATGTTATACATCTAAATTTTATATATAGATAGTGAAACGTACTGCGAGGGCTGCATCGTCGAAATATTGTATATATTCATACAAAATTGAAAATGGCAGACTTCCGGTAGGGTTTAGAGCATGGTCCCAAGAGACTTATATTTAAGTCTCCAGAGGATACATGTGCCTACCAAGTTTCATACATATAGCCAAAACGTAGCGCTAGGGCTGCTCTTTTGAAATATTGTAGGGGGCGCTATAGAGGCAATTTAAAACGGCCAATAAAGAAAATCATATAAACTATTTCTTCCAATGACCTGTAACACATGTACAAAGTCCCATGAGTTTTTGAGCATCCCAACCCACTAAACCATCAGCTTCCTTTTTCATGGCAAACTATGCGTCGCCACGGCAACAGCGTTCAACGAAAACTCAAAAAATTCATGATGATGCATCATCAATGTCTTAAGGCTATCCTTACCACATTTTAGACTCATCAGGTCACCTGGCTAGGAGGAATAATTAAAAGTATAAAATATGACATTTCCTTTAGCCAGTAGGCGGCGCTATGAATTATTGAATTTTTTTCAATTGAAGTATGTTTAGGCTTGAAGTAGCATCATGCAAAATAAGTTTTGTGCGGATTGGATAATGTACCTTGGAGTTATAACAACTTATAACAACTTATTTTTTCATAAACAATGAGGCAAAATGGCCGCCACGCCATGTCAAGGTTCTTTGATGAAAACTCTCGATTTTGATAACTTTTAATCACAAAGGTCTTAAGAGCATCCTGACCAAAGTAGAAGTTGATTGCTTACAATCTGTCGGAGGAGTTCGTTAAAGTGCGAAGGTTGAAATCTGCAAAAAGTGACAAAAAGCACAACTTCGAGGGTTTACTGTAGCGCCCCCTAGTTGTTGAATGCAAAATAAATCTCAGGGTATGTTAGAGGATGCAATGTGCACATATGCTGAAAATCTGGTAATTTTAGGACAAACGGTTGAGAAGTTATATGTATTGATATTAAGCCACGCCCCCAAGAAGTTTATTGGTACATATCTTGTAAACGAAAAGAGATATCAAAAAGCTTTTGATAATTTTTGATGACGTAGATCCAGCAATGATCCACAGCAAATTTGGTAGTAATGGGACTAAGCATGTAGGAGGAGTTCGCAGAAATGTGTTTTACACTAAATTCAATATGGCGGAAAATCTAAGTAGGCGGAGCTTAGGGGTCTGATTGGCTTTTTTGTAGCTCTAGCTCAAGTGGACATGTGTGTCAAATTTCAAGTCAATCGGACATACTGGCCGAGGGGCGTCGCCGGTCCGACTTGTAGGGGCGCTAGAGAGCCATTTCTTAACACAGAAAGATGCATTCTTTTTCAGATGGTTATATTCACCAGGCCTGACAAGTCCCCAAAATTTGGTGAGTTTTCATGCATGGAAAGTCCTCCAACCATGCGTACGTTTACCCAAACGGGTACAATATCAATAGGGCCTTCGCTGGCCCGATGTTGTCGGTCGCTCGGGCCCTAACAATGAGCACCAACACACCGAGGCAGCCGTCCGCGGCGCCATCTTAGCAGTCAAGTGGATACGCACACAGTGGGYGGCCCTCTGTGGATACGCSCGCACACAGTGGGCGGCCCTCTGCGGATACGCCCGCACACAGTGGGCGGCCCTCTGCGGATACGCCCGCACACAGTGGGCGGCCCTCTGCGGATACGCCCGCACACAGTGGCTGGCCCTCTGCGGATACGCCCGCACACAGTGGCCGGCCCTCTGCGGATACGCCCGCACACAGTGGCCGGCCCTCTGTGGATGTGATGTTATCTGTGTAGTCAGTCGCTGTCCTCTGATCCTGGATCAGTTCGTGAACATAACATCAGGTTAATGTGGATCAATGATGATGATCAGACTTCAGTTCCAGGAAACAATCTATAATTCATTATTAATGATCTTCATCAACCGGTAAACATTGATGTGTTTTGTGTTGAAGGACATGCCGTTCACCTGTGAGGGAATCACACCAGACATCATCATCAACCCTCACGCCATCCCTTCCAGAATGACAGTCGGCCATCTGATCGAGTGTCTGCAGGGCAAGGTAGTAATCAATGATATATATTGGATAACTTCAACTTAATAGCTTTAATTAAAAATGTTTAGTTTCTGCCAAATTAATGTCATGTCAAAAGGTAATAATACATTATAATCAGATATTATCAGGATATGGTAATATTCATAACACATTAACAATAATTACTAAAGTATTGTCAATAATAAATAAATATTGCCTGACAGGTTCTCACACATTTACACATTACATTTCATTTTATATAAAATATTAGTATATATATATATTGTCATATATCATTTTTGCATTGTTTTTTGTGTCTGGTTTCAGGTTTCTGCGAACAAAGGTGAGATTGGCGACGCAACACCGTTTAACGACGCAGTCAATGTGCAGAAAGTGTCGAACCTGCTGTCTGAATACGGATACCACCTGAGAGGAAATGAGGTGACTCTCACTGTTTAGTTCCTGTTTAACTCAAACACTTGTGTGTGTGTGTGATGTCACTGTGATTCAATGGACTGAACGTTCAGTCATGATCATCATCAGTAGAGAGTATTATTTATGTTTCATTGAAGATGATTAGTTTAAAGAGATAGTTCAGGTGTTTTGAGGTGGGGTTGTATTCATGAAGTACTTAAACTCAGGGTATTACCTCCAGTAGATGAGTTCACACTTTGAGACTGTAACCGATCGCGTCACACTTTGAGACTGTAACCGATCGCGTCACACTTTGAGACTGTAACCGTTCAGGCAGCGTCGGAAATACACGAGGGCAAAGGGCAAAACTGCCCCTAAGAAATATAATTTTGCCCCTGATATCACTAGGAGAGGGGCAAAAAATGCCCCCGAACTTTCCAAACGAATAAATAAATGGAGCGCTTCTTAATCAGACCTGTGACTGCGAGACTGCGGTCAACTCAGCAGACACTTATGTTAGTGCACCTATATGCTGAAATTCACGGTAAACTCATTTAAACGGCACAGATCGGGAGCGAGTGAAGGACTTTGAAAGTTAACGGAAAGATTAACGTGAGACAACATCCGGTTTCTTCAGACGAACATCCGGTTTTCAGAATAAGATGCCAACAAAGTATACATATTGCATAATGGAAATGAGATTAAATTAATTATATTCACATTAAGTATAAAACATGCTACCTGCATCTCGTGAGTTAAAGGTAAAATACACCTAAATTGTGCGTAAAGTGTCTTTATTCTTTGATTTGAGGGTTGCTGGAAATGAATAATACCTGACTGACAGACAATTAAGATATTTTACTAAGTAAAAACTCTGAACTGAATTTGTACCTTCAAATGGCACATTTTTAAAAATTTTAAGGTGCTATAAAAATGTTTTTCTCAAAAATTCCACACAATGACTAATGCATAAGTTCAGGACAAAAATGGGTAATATCACAATATTTGAGGTGCTACAAAAATATTTTTTTCTCAATAATTCCATACAATGACCAATGTATATGTAATCAAGGCATCGTTGACTTAATAATTGTTAATAGTTGTTTAAAACATTTAATAACAATACATAACCACAAAGAAATGAGAATAAAATTGAATATGATTGTCTGATTTACGTTTGTTTTTTGTTAAAAAAAATCTAAGAAAACACTTTGAATCTGTAGACTACTGCTAATAGTCTTATTATTGCCATTTGATGACAATTGCTCATATACTGTAAGCCTAAATAAGTATATTTATTATTTTGAACAAAGGTTAAATGTTATTTCACAAGTTTCAAAAAGTGCCCCCAATTTTTTGAAAATGCCCCTGGATTTCAGTCAGTGGGGGCAAAAGTTGACCCCAAAAAAATATGTAAATTTCCTACCCTGCGTTCAG